GCTGCTTTGCTTGAAATTTAAAAAAAAATCCTCACGTTCAACCAGAATCCCTGAAGGAGGAGCTTTAGGTTATAATTGTGAGTAGGTTATGTGTGCCATATAAAATGGCTCGGCATTTCACGCCACCAAAAGCCCTGAAAAGGACTCCTGCAGTGTTGATGCGATCAACAAAGACAGATCTAAATACTGTCTCGGCCGGCAAGGAAGTCGTCTACCGGCGAGCAAATGGGTGACACTGTTGCCGATAAGCCTCCTGTAAACTGCCGTGCGTTTATGTAACGCTGGATCGCCCATTTTAATCGCCAAAACTTTCGCCAAAAAGAAACTTTTCTATATCCACGCAAAACTCGTAAAGTCTACTTTTGGTCGACATTAGGCTATACGTGACAAATGTGGACCTTAACGGTAAGGGACGGAAAGTCATTACAAAGAAGAAGAAAAACGAGATGTCTTAGAACTGCAGGCGTAACAAGAAAAGATATTTTAAATGACGAAATCAGTTGAAGACTAGAACTAAAAAAAAAAAAAAAAGTCATAAAATTCGTTAAAGAACAACAGGTGAAAAGGGTTAACCCTTTGACGAGAATGCCATGGTATTTTCTTTTTTAAAGTACAAGATCCTTTTTTATGCTAATGACGCATCGGGTTGAGTTGAGTCAAGAATTGAAACCACAGCACTAGGGGCATTCCTATTTGCGCTTCGTCCCCATCTTTAGCAGCTAGCGTAGAGTTCCAATACTAATGGTACCGGTCGTAGTCTGGTCATATGTCCATCTTGCCTTTCCTGTGAGTGTAGTGAGACAGCCAGACCCTCTGGTCACACCTAGGTGCATCATTCTCTCCAGGTCATAACAATCCATGACGCACCGGGTACACATCTACTTTACACCTACTTTAGGTTAAAAACTGTTTGGACCAACCCGCAGAGTCACGTGGTCAGCATCACGCCGGCCGCCTATACTCTCCGTGACATTTCATGGTACCCATTTAGGCTGGGTCGACCTGGAAGTGAAGGTTGATTTTTTTTTAAACATGACTGGATGCGGATTCAAACAGAAGACCTTCAGGCCGACAGGTGAACGCATAGCCACAACGTTACTGCCAATGCTATGGTGCCAACTCACCTATTCAGAACAAAACACTTTTCAAGGGGAAATGACAAAAAACCTACGTTAAGCTGGTAAATCAGACAGTTAATATTTTAACACTAAATAACAAAGAAGCGTGAGGCAGTTTCAAAAAAGGTGCGGGAGGGTCTCAAGAAATTTGGAAACTGTCCATTTTTACTTGTAATAATCCGGATTTGACGCTTTAAAAGTCAATAAAACAAAACAGCGTTGCCAGAATAGTGTGTAGAGTGATCTCCGTTCTGCCTTGCCCAACAGCAGACTACAAATAGCAGATATCATTCAGACAAAACAGTGTCAACCATCACATTGATATTAAGGACCCTAAATTGCCAACTGTTGGTAATTATTTCTTTTATTGATACTCTGAATTCTGCGAATGTTTTTCTCCAAGTTCTTGTTAATAATAGTACTTGGCATTTTTATTTGTGCCCTCCTCGTTTTAATCTCATTTTGTTAAGTCGGGGAGGGGAGGGGGGCGTGAAGGGTCTTGCTAAATACTCAAGGGACAAGGGACCCTATCTGAACAAGACTGGAGACCACTGGTTTCATTGGTAAAGCGGATATTTTATTGTTAAATCACAGAAAAACATTAGGCCCAAGTTGGCATTTCCCAATTTATAATCCCCTTTAGGTTGGCATTTCCCAATTTATAACCCTGAAAAAATTTCAATAATAAACCTCCCCCCCCCCCTCTCTCTCTCTCTCTCTCTCTCTCTCTCTTTCTCTCTCTCTCTCTCTCTCTCTCTCTCTCTCTCTCTCTCTCTCTCTCTCTCTCTCTCTCTCTCTCTCTCTCTCTCTCTTCAGATTATTTTTTAAAAAATATTAGTTAGCAATACTAATTTTGTCAACGAAACTGTCAGCCCTAGAGCCGAAATGATGGGAAACTTAAAATCCTGCCTGTGAGGTGATTAAACCCAGTTTATTATATCCACGGGAAGATATGCTAACCTCGGGACCACTACTGCTGTGTGTGACTGAAGTACTGAAATAACAGCCTTTGTAGACGAATTATCTCAGCGGCCTAGGCTTTTTAAACCGGTGGCCCGCGGGGACAGGTCATGACGTAGTTGTGTAATTTTGCCACTGATAGTCAGTACCACACACAAGAACGACGTCTCTCTTACATGAGACGGACGTGTATGCATAACAGAAAGGAAAAACACGTTTTAAATTACCTTCTGATTTTCCATCGTCGACAGCACACATCGAGTTTACAGATGATGGAGATTTTAGGAGAGAGAGAGAGAGAGAGCGAGAGAGCACGATACTAGAGAGGAAAACAAACAACGACAGCGCGATGTCAGTGTGCGTGTTCATTTAATTCATTTCAGCCACTCTGACTTCTCATTAGACAATGCCTATCGGCAGTGAACGAAACCCACAGACGGGGCTAAGCCAGCAGGAGACCACCCTGTCTGGTCGTCAGGCAGGTTTTTACAAGAACGCCAACTGAGTAGTGAAGTAGAGGACCCTATTCCACGTATACGGCTAGGTGAGTTGGTTGCGTGTCCTTTACAGCACGTTGCAGAAGCAACCCAAACAGCCCTGGCTGTTGTGTGGTTTTTCTAGGCAAATTTACGTCCAGTAGTTTGCCACTGCTCCAGGACGGTCGGCTTTCTTGATACCACTGCCAAAACAAACGCATGACCCATGGCCCGCAGCCGGGATCGAACCCGGCATCTCGGCATTACGAAGCACGTATACGGCTAGATCTATATTTTATAGACCCAATCGGCACTTGCTGGGTGAAGTGGTCAGCATCACGCCGCGTCGCCTTTACTTTCCAGGACTTCATCTGGTACCCATTCAAGGCTTGGTCGACCTAAGAGCCAAGGCCATTTTTAAAAAAGTCCGGTACGGCCAGGACTCGAACCCACGACCTTCCTGTCTGCAGGCGAACGTCACCGCGGCTCTGGCCCCCTGCCCCAATTTAGAAACATGCCCCAGAAAGTCTATCTTTAGTGGGTAGTTCATAGCAATACCACAGGAAGGGAAACGTGGATATGCAACATGAACTTGAGCTTAACGTCCAATTTTAATCAATATAGTGAAGAAGTCGTGTGAGGAGAAGAAGAAACCTGGGGTAGATCGGGACAGAAGGAAAGTTAGAGGGGAGGAGTGGCAGAGAGAGAGAGAGAGAGAGAGAGAGAGAGAGAGAGAGAGAGAGAGAGAGAGAGAGAGGGAGAGAGAGAGAGAGAGAGAGAGAGAGAGAGAGAGAGAGAGAGAGAGAGAGAGAGGGGGGGGGATGCTAGACAGTTTAACATCATGGCATGGAGGATCGTCTGTGTTAGAGCTGATGAAAGTACACGAGACAGGTTGTGTATAGACATGAGTAGCAACGCCAAACGGCATGGACTTTATTAAGTAGAAGTCGGCTAGGAGATGCGGTAATGTAATAAATAAACGCATACCTTAAGGCCCCAAGGTCTTGGATTAACATCCGCATCGCGGGTGATTTCTTTTAAAAAATCGGTCTTTGCTCTAAGTACGACCCAACCCAAATCAGTACCAGAAAATATCCTGGGAAGTAAATCGCCCCGTGTGATACTGGCCCCATCAGGCGCAGAGTGTCGGTCAGCCAAAAAATACGAGTCTAGCATCATATGCCCAATGCGCCATTTGCTTAAAAAGAGTTCTCTTACTAACTGAAGTCCCAGGAAGTAGAGGTGGCCGGCGTAATGCTAACCACATCGCCTATCTTGTGCCCATAGGTCTAAACAAATATAGGTCTAGCCCTATACGCCTAAAGGCATGGAAAAGGGTCCTTTACTTTACCTTACTTACTATTTACTGAGAAAAAGGTTGCACATCAGAATTTATAGTCTCAGATATGAGTTTATGTAACACACTAAAAACAGAACATCAGAACACAACTATACTTTTTCTAGGGGATCGCAGCATGGTTCTAATAACTACAACACAGCACAGTTCTAATAACTACAACATTAGAACACAATACGATTCTAATGGCTACACAACCAGAACACAATAAGGTTCTAACGACTATACAATCAGAACACAACGCAGTTCTAACAACTATACAAACAGAACACAACACAGTTTTAACGACTATACAATCAGAACATAAACGGTTCTTGGGACTGTAAAATCAGAACACAATGCTGTTCTAATGACTATAGAATCAGAACACAACATGGTTCTGAACGCGGTTCTGATGACTACACAATCAGAACACAACACGGTTCTAACGACTATACAATCAGAACACAACGCGGTTCTGATGACCACACATTCAGAACACAACACGGTTCTAATGACTACAATCAGAACACAACACGGTTCTAATGACTATACAATCAGAACACAGCGCGGTTCTGGTGACTACACAATCTGACACACAACACAGTTCTAACGACCATACAATCAGAACACAACATGGTTCTAACAACTATACAATCAGGACACAATGCGGTTCTGATGACTAAACAATCAGAACACAATGCAGTTCTAACGACTATACAATCAGAACACAACATGGTTCTAACAACTATACAATCAGGACACAATGAGGTTCTGGTGACTACACAATCAGAACACAACACGCTTCTAACGACTTTACAATCAGAACACAACGAGGTTCTGATGACTAAACATTCAGAACACAACACGGTTCTAACGACTACATATTCAGAACACAACAAGGTTCTAATAAATGCACAAATAGAACACAACACAGTTCTAATAAATACACAGTCAGAACATAACAAGATTCTAATACCTAAAATATCAGTCAGAACATAACAAGATTCTAATACCTAAAATATCAGGACACAACATGTTCGAAAAACTGCAACACTAGAACTCACACAGTTCTAACAGCTACAACAACAGAACAGTACTGCTACTTACTGCGCTAGGAAATCATTAAACTCTGGAGACCAGCGGTCAGGGTTACGGAGTTTGGGTGGAGGATTTCTGAAACATAGAAAGAGATAAATATACAGAAATCTTACATCTGAAAATATTAAGTGTCTGAGCACTGGCTAGTCAGACTGCATCACAATAAGTATGTTGCTATATGAACATGTGGGATGGTTGTTCGACATCACGACAGAAAACTAAACAAATGTGAAATTAGAAATTTGAGAAAGTCCGCGAATAAAACCAGAAAAGATCTGTGAGAAAGGAAGAGATGAGAAGAACTACTGGAACAATACAAATAGTTAAAGTCATTCAGAAACAATGATTGAAATGGTTCGTCCCTCTAATAAGACTGAACCCACCGATGCGCCGATAGTCCAGGAGCGTTTAACACGATAATGAAACATCAAGATGCACGGGGAGATCTAGCAGATTGTGGATGAAAAGATTCAAAAGCAACCTAAACCTTGGTGTGTCACTGAGCTGTGGGTTTCACATAAATGCTTTTGCGTCTGTGCCCGTGGTAGTTCCACGTTGTAAAATGTAATGAAAATGGCAAGTGGCCGGTTATGTCCGGACTGATGTTGCCTTATGCAGTGCGCACATGGTGGTGTGTCGTCAGTGACTGCATCCATAGAACAAAGAACGATAATTCTAATCGCGGACTCTAATTATTAGCATATTTGGTTACTATATTATGCTACTACTCTGGGTGGACCACTGGCGTCTGAATTTTACTGGGACTAATCTACTTTCACTGGTTTTCAAACAGGACAGTGATGACCATTTTGCGTGATTTCAACTGGCACACAGGACTAGGTTCTAGGAATATGTTTATAATATGTTCTAAGAGTATGTTTATAATATGTTCTGGGAGTATGTTTATAATATGTTCTGGGAGTATGTTTATAATATGTTCTAAGAGTATGTTAATAATATGTTCTAGGAGTATGTTTATAATATGTTCTATGAGTATGTTTATAATATGTTCTGGGAGTATGTTTATAATATGTTCTGGGAGTATGTTTATAATATGTTCTGGGAGTATGTTTATAATATGTTCTGGGAGTATGTTTATAATATGTTCTAGGAGTATGTTTATAATATGTTCTGGGAGTATGTTTATAATATGTTCTGGGAGTATGTTTATAATATGTTCTGGGAGTATGTTTATAATATGTTCTGGGAGTATGTTTATAATATGTTCTGGGAGTATGTTTATAATATGTTCTAGGAGTATGTTTATAATATGTTCTGGGAGTATGTTTATAATATGTTCTGGGAGTGTGTTTATAATATGTTCTGGGAGTATGTTTATAATATAATCTGGGAGTGTGTTTATAATATGTTCTGGGAGTATGTTTATAATATGTTCTGGGAATATGTTTATAATATGTTCTGGGAGTATGTTTATAATATGTTCAAGGAGTATGTTTATAATATGTTCTAGGAGTTTGTTTATAATATGTTCTGGGAGTATGTTTATAATATGTTCTGGGAGTATGTTTATAATATGTTCTGGGAGTATGTTTATAATATGTTATGGGAGTATGTTTATAATATGTTCTAGGAGTATGTTTATAATATGTTCTGGGAGTATGTTTATAATATGTTCTGGGAATATGTTTATAATATGTTCTGAGGGTATGTTTATAATATGTTCTGGGAGTATGTTTATAATATGTTCTGGGAGTATGTTTATAATATGTTCTGGGAGTATGTTTATAATATGTTCTGGGAATATGTTTATAATATGTTCTAGGAGTATGTTTATAATATGTTCTGGGAGTATGTTTATAATATGTTCTAGGAGTATGTTTATAATATGTTCTGGGAGTATGTTTATAATATGTTCTGGAAGTATGTTTATAATATGTTCTGGGAGTATGTTTATAATATGTTCTGGGAGTATGTTTATAATATGTTCTAGGAGTATGTTTATAATATGTTCTGGGAGTATGTTTATAATATGTTCTGGGAGTGTGTTTATAATATGTTCTGGGAGTATGTTTATAATATAATCTGGGAGTGTGTTTATAATATGTTCTGGGAGTATGTTTATAATATGTTCTGGGAATATGTTTATAATATGTTCTGGGAGTATGTTTATAATATGTTCAAGGAGTATGTTTATAATATGTTCTAGGAGTTTGTTTATAATATGTTCTGGGAGTATGTTTATAATATGTTCTGGGAGTATGTTTACAATATGTTCTGGGAGTATGTTTATAATATGTTATGGGAGTATGTTTATAATATGTTCTGGGAATATGTTTATAATATGTTCTGGGAGTATGTTTATAATATGTTCTGGGAATATGTTTATAATATGTTCTGAGGGTATGTTTATAATATGTTCTGGGAGTATGTTTATAATATGTTCTGGGAGTATGTTTATAATATGTTCTGGGAGTATGTTTATAATATGTTCTGGGAGTATGTTTATAATATGTTCTGGGAGTATGTTTATAATATGTTCTGGGAGTATGTTTATAATATGTTCTAGGAGTATGTTTATAATATGTTCTGGGAGTATGTTTATAATATGTTCTGGGAGTATGTTTATAATATGTTCTGGGAGTATGTTTATAATATGTTCTGGGAGTATGTTTATAATATGTTCTGGGAGTATGTTTATAATATGTTCTGGGAGTATGTTTATATTATGTTCTGGGAGTATGTTTATAATATGTTCTGGGAGTATGTTTATAATATGTTCTGGGAGTATGTTTATAATATGTTCTGGGAGTATGTTTATAATATGTTCTGGGAGTATGTTTATAATATGTTCTGGGAGTATGTTTATAATATGTTCTGGGAGTATGTTTATAATATGTTCTGGGAGTATGTTTATAATATGTTCTGGGAGTATGTTTATAATATGTTCTGGGAGCATGTTTATAATATGTTCTGGGAGTATGTTTATAATATGTTCTGGGAGTATGTTTATAATATGTTCTGGGAGTATGTTTATAATATGTTCTGGGAGTATGTTTATAATATGTTCTAGGAGTATGTTTATAATATGTTCTGGGAGTATGTTTATAAATATGTTCTGGGAGTATGTTTATAATATGTTCTGGGAGTATGTTTATAATATGTTCTGGGAGTATGTTTATAATATGTTCTGGGAGTATGTTTATAATATGTTCTAGGAGTATGTTTATAATATGTTCTGGGAGTATGTTTATAATATGTTCTGGGAGTGTGTTTATATAATATGTTCTGGGAGTATGTTTATAATATAATCTGGGAGTGTGTTTATAAGTATGTTTATAATATGTTCTGGGAGTATGTTTATAATATGTTCTGGGAGTATGTTTATAATATGTTCTGGGAGTATGTTTATAATATGTTCTGGGAGTATGTTTATAATATGTTCTGGGAGTATGTTTATAATATATGTTCTGGGAGTATGTTTATAATATGTTCTGGGAGTATGTTTATTTCTGGGAGTATGTTATAATATGTTCTGGGAGTATGTTCTAATATGTATCTGGGAGTATGTTTATAATATGTTCTGGGAGTATGTTTATAATATGTTCTGGGAGTATGTTTATAATATGTTCTGGGAGTATGTTTATAATATGTTCTGGGAGTATGTTTATAATATGTTCTGGGAGTATGTTTATAATATGTTCTGGGAGTATGTTTATAATATGTTCTGGGAGTATGTTTATAATATGTTCTGGGAGTATGTTTATAATATGTTCTGGGAGTATGTTTATAATATGTTCTGGGAGTATGTTTATAATATGTTCTGGGAGTATGTTTATAATATGTTCTGGGAGTATGTTTATAATATGTTCTGGGAGTATGTTTATAATATGTTCTGGGAGTATGTTTATAATATGTTCTGGGAGTATGTTTATAATATGTTCTGGGAGTATGTTTATAATATGTTCTGGGAGTATGTTTATAATATGTTCTGGGAGTATGTTTATAATATGTTTTGGGAGTATGTTTATAATATGTTCTGGGAGTATGTTTATAATATGTTCTAGGAGTATGTTTATAATATGTTCTGGGAGTATGCTTTTAATATGTCCTGGGAGTATGTTTATAATATGTTCTGGGAATATGTTTATAATATGTTCTGGGAGTATGTTTATAATATGTTCTGGGAGTATGTTTATAATATGTTCTGCAAAAATGCCTATAAATTGTTCTGGGAAGTGAAGGCGACCAGCGTGATATCCATCCAATTCACCGAGTTCCCTGTGGCTAATAAAATATCTGATAGACACCATATATCTAATAAGTGGAAATGTCGGGTCAACCTGTAAGAAGAGGTAAGTTTTTAAAAACATGATTTGAAGAGGTGACCACCAGTAAGACAGAACTCTACCACTATGTCACGGCAGCTCTCGTCAATCTCCATGAGATGTGAAATTATTACTGTTTCTCCGAAAACAGGACGGGGTCTAGTATTACATATTGCCCAAGAACACGCTTCAGGGCTTATATTCAGTGGATGACTTATTGTTTTCATAAATAAACAAGTTTTCATTTTTTCAAGTACAAGGAATAGATTTAATAGAAGTATCAAATCTACATGCACTCAAAATCCAACAATTACTTTAAAAAGCTAAGCTTAATTAAAGCATAAACTTGAGTAATATATTCTTCTTCTTCTTTACGTCCTCTTTTACCGCTTCGGGTGTCCAAAGATATATAAGGTCATGCTTCGTGCTTTTCTGGCTGCTTCGACCACAGACACATCGTGGTGCTGTAGAGTTTCTTTGATGTTATCTTCCCATCCTGTTCTTGAACTACTTCTTGCTCTACGTCCCTCTCCTCTTATAGTATATGCCTTGAATGGTATTGCATCAGAAGGCATTCTCTCCAAGTGGGAAAACCATTTGATTTGCTGTCTTTCTATGTAATTTATAATTGGTTCTGTGCCGACATTATCTCCTATGACGGTTTTGTGACGACTTTATCTCCTGTGACCTCTTTCCTGACTTTATCTCTTCTGGTGACTCCTACAGTCGTTCTCAGACACCTCATTTCCATGGTTACTAATTTTCTTTTAATCTATTCATTTATACATTTATTACTTTATAAACCTAACACGTCTATTGTGTGTCTCAGCGGACATGGGCTTGTCCTCTAGGGTAGGTCTTATATTACATGCATCCCGAAAATTCATGAATCGGGCTGAGCGGCCCTGTAGCTTAGAGAAACAGTTTCACAACTAAATTCTCGAAAGTAACTGGGCGAGCGGTTGAATGTTGCATTTTTTAATAGTAATACAAGAGTCACACCGTAGAAAATACTGCAGCCTCACTATGTAATATTCATAAAGACAGTCGTAGAAGCACTGCAGCCAGCCTCCACTGTGGAGTGAAAAAGGTGGCAGAGCAAAACCGAGAGAAGGTGCTGGAGAGTTTGACATAATGGCATGGCAGACCATTTGTGTCAGATCTGATAAAAGTGCACGAGACAGAAGGCTGTGGATGTACACGACTACCAACACCATAGGCCATGGTCTATGAGAAACAGAAAATAATGAAGCCGTCTGTGTTGAAACCTACACGTGAATCACACAGTAATGTGGGTACACTCAAAGCATTTTGGATGAATGACACCAATTGGGAGGCTGCCCCTCAAGACCGAAATGCATGGCGTGCAGCTCTACACAAGGGTGCGGCTACATGTGAAGTAAACAGAACAGCAAGACTTATTAAGAAAAGGATGGACAGAAAGGCAACTGCAGGAGATCCCCTCTCTGGCACAACGCTCATTCCCTATCCTCACTGTCCAAGAACTTTTCGGGCCCGCATCGGCCTCATCAGTCATCTTCGTACTCATACTTGATGAAAAAGAGTGGTCATCATCATCTTGATGGACAACATACAATGTGGGTACGCTGACAAGGATAGGAAATGTGCAACACCAACTGCGTGGATCCCAACAACCATTCAAATCTCAGTCGTATTCATTTGCATGATCAGTTAGTTGTTAATTTCAAAATGGTAACAATGAATCTATTGGGCAACGAGGGGGTAAAGGTAATAACAGAAATTTGGAAAAAGACAGAAATAAAACATCTCAATTCAACAAAGAAAAACAGTTGAGAATAACAGAAGAAACAATATAAGAGAGAAGACACACAAAAAGAAAGAAGAGAAGAAATGCACAAAGACAGATAGGCTGATATACAATAAGAAAGAAATGAACAAACAAATAAATGATAGAAAAAGAAAGACAATTAAGGTCACATAATAGGAAAGAAAGACAGACAGACAGACAGACAGACAGACAGACAGACAGACAGACAGACAGACAGACAGACAGACAGACAGACAGACAGACAGACAGACAGACAGACAGACAGACAGACAGACAGACAGGCAGGCAGGCAGGCAGGCAGGCAGGCAGGCAGGCAGGCAGGCAGGCAGGCAGGCAGGCAGACAGACAGACAGACAGACAGACAGACAGACAGACAGACAGACAGACAGACAGACAGACAGACAGACAGACAGACAGACAGACAGACAGACAGACAGACAGACAGAGAAAGAAAGAAAGAAACAAACAACGAACGGAAATTAGTTACGGAAAGTAAGGTTCCTGGGAGAAGATACAGGAGTCGATGAGCCCTAAGCCAACCAACCAAACAATCAACAAATGAATCAACTAACCAAACGATCAACAAAAGAACCAACCAACCAACCAACAAAGGTACCAACAAACCCAACAAAGAACTAACAATCTCATCAACCCTAACAACCAACAAACGAATGAACCAACCAGATAATGAACACACGAACCAAAAAGTCAACAAACGATCCAAACAACCAAACAAACAATAACTCAACTTACTAAGGAAACAATCAACCATACAATTAACCCACGAATCATCCAGCCAAACAATCAACAAATGAACCAACCAACCAAACATTTAACAGACCAACCAATCAAACAATATAACCAACCAAATAATAAACAATCGAACCAACCAGCCAAACAATCAAAATAACAACCAATCGACCAAGCAACCAATTAACCATTTTGACAAACCGCTGGGACCCTTGTTTAACGACAACATTTAGTGATAGAAAACATTGTTGAAAACTAATCCTATTACCAACCACACCCTGTAGGCTGGGAAATCAATGGTATTGACAGGGACGCCAGAGTTTTATTTACCTGAATCTGCGTGCACTTATTTTTCCTGCCCGGCTAGGAATCAATTCATAAGCATTTTCCCGTACACATATTATTACCACATAAACACCAGTCAATGGGAAATGGTGGTCTAATTATGACAAGGAGGCGGGAGCTGCGGTAACACAGTGGATAGAGCACAGCAGATAGACGCTAACCGTGCTAGCACGAGGTCTTCGGTTCAAATCCACATGGGGCAGAATGAAAAAAGTTTCTTCTTCTTCTTGTGGCTATGTAGTGCTTGCTAGTCATGGTTATCCACAGCCTTTAGTTTTGTGTACTATCTGTTATCTCTGATACAGAAATCTTATCCAGACAAATTTAAAGCACCGGTTTCCTTTTGAGTATAGGAGTTAATTTGACAATCAATACACTAATTCCTTCGAGATTTGCACGAGTCCTGACCTTCTGAAATGTTACCTAGTTCTAATACGGACGCCACTAGCCGATGCTCTGCTAAGTAAACAGCACAGATAATTTAGACAACTCGCCACAGTGCGCTCCTGCCCTCCTTTTCTTCTTCTGTTCAACAATAAAGCCACTCTTTTTGTAAACATGATTTTCATAACAGATTTCGCCGTCAGTGAAGAGAAGTGGGCCAGCCAATGTTTGTCTTTATTACAGATTTAGTTAACGCTAACGATTCGATCTCATAATCACGAAACAATCAATGGAATTACCAGCACTACAAAAAATCAACAGCAAATAATGTTTGAACTTTGTAATGTTTCAGATAGTGTGCGTTCCGAGTCAGTCAATAGACGAGTCACGTTCAACCCAACCATGACTGCACAACGAGCGTTCAATACCCGATTACACAAAGTGCCACCATTCGGATGAGAATCCCTAGGCGCAAGTCCCATACACCCCGTTCGACCGTTATGTTATATTAGCCCACCCCCCACCCACCCCACCCCCCACCCCCCCCCCCGACGATAGCCACGGTGTAGCAGGTCCTTTGCGGTAGGTCGCTCTCGTCACAGTCTGCCTGAAAGAAACTTGGTCTCTCGCCAGCTCTCCCGCCTCCTTTTCAACGAGTCACTGATATCCTGTGCCCATCTTCATGTTGGTCTATCCTTGCCCCCCCCCCCCTCCTTTCCTGGTACCATGCTTCTGCTCTTATTTTCCCAATCCGACATGTCGCTTGATAAGACCAAAATATTTCAGTTTCCGAGACAAAATGCCGTTTATAAAACAGTCTTTCTTGATGTTCAGATCTATTAAAATGCCAGTATTTCTTCTCTTTTTGTCCGTGGTATTATGATAATCTTTTTAAAGCATTTCAGCTCAAAAGCCCATATTTTTTATCTTAAGAACTTGGAGATAGCCCATGACTCATACCCGTTTGTTGCTACAGGGAAGATGCATGCTCTCAGAATTTTTTTTTTTTTTTTTCCTTGCTGGTGCTTAACCTTGAATTTTTAATGCTCTTCAATCTTTGCATGACTTTAAAATAATTTTTTTTTTTTAACTGTGTCCCGTATTGGGTTAATATACAAAAGATTTTTCCTTGTATGCTGGATAGGCCATGAAAATAATCACTACGCATTTCCGCACATATGAAATGACTTCCAAACAATCTCCAGGCGTGTGTCAATCACTGTGTTCAATTGTTATGGGCAAACAAATTATTATTCAAAGATCAATGAAATTCTCCGCTTTAAGAAGGCCCTGTCCAACTGTAAATTATAAAATCATAAGGATATGGAAAATCTAAGGCTACAGGCAAAAATCCGTGTTGATTTTGCAGGAATTTTTGAAATATTAGTTTAAGTGTGATGGCATGACTTTGGAAACGCATTATAATATATATTGCTTAAAGTAAAGTGTAGTTTAAGTCATTCACTGTAAATGTCTTCAAGTAGCATGTATTCTCAGTCGCTCGATACACGAAAACTTCACGTAGCGTGCATTTTGAGTCACTCATTTTATAACGCATCAAGTAACATGTTTTTGAGTCAATCATAGTATAAGGCATCAAGTAGCGTGTATTTTGAATCACTCAT